CCCAAAGATTTTGATGTAGTGAACTGTAGTAAACCAGGACATCTTTCAGGACAGCATGAGAGTATAAAGCATGAAGAAAAGTTTATTCAGACTGCAGGTAGCAAAAGCTGAGACTGCAGACTACACTTGTTCCCTAAGCAAGGCACTCCCTGCAAAGATATCACCAAGAGATTTCATTAGTCTACCAGGCATTCAGATAGACAAGACTGCCCAGAAAGAAAGATGGGAGGAAGACATTAAATTCTTTTTTCCATGTTACGTGAGAGTAAGTCTTGCGCTGTAATTGTGTAGAAAAGCCTGCCATTCAACTCCATGACCTCTGCTAAAACTGTTATGTTTGTATTTAGTGTTAACGTCTTTTGACAATAGGCTGGAAGCAGGGAGGGAGGAAGGGAAAACAAAAGTTACTTTTTTCTATTACCACATGCAAACTGAGTTAATCACAGGCAACACTCTAGGTTTCTTTCAGAACTTGCAAGGGTGAAACTGGTAGTCCCGCTGGGGCTACTTATTTATGCATAATTAACATGTTGGAAGAGCAAAGCTGTCAAGCTGCTACAGAAAAACAACCATCATGCTTTTATCTGTATAGCCACAAGCTGTCCAAGTGTGTTTTTCTATCCCCTAAACTGGCAAATGTAAGACTCCTCCAAAAATCAATAAAACATTGTCCCTCATAAAATGTTTGACCCTCCAAATGTAACGATGATTCAAATATTCAACATGGGTGTTGTTAAGTACTACACTGTGACACATTACCGAGCAGTAAGTCCATTTCAAGCAGGCAGAACATCACACAGGGACACGAACACACAGGACCACTCACTGTTCAACCACAACTTCCCCAGCTCAGGCACCAGTAAGCAGTGCCACGCAATTTGCCCAAGTGAGTTCCGCAGGAACTCACCAATTCTTTTTCTTGCCAATTACAGATTCTAGGGGTTTTTTTTAAAACTGCTAAGCTGACCTCAACAAAAGCTGAGAGGCCTTAGGCTAATAGCTCTCTGTTCAATATATCTTTTAGAAATATTACAAGATTTAAGTCTCTACTTTCTTCCAAACTCTTTCAGAAGTTGCTTTCTTGATATCTTAAAGCTTAGTAATAGATTAAGAAACCAGTCAACCAAGACAAACCACACAAGATTTCAGTTATGTCCTTTCCTTTCCCTTCCCAATCAAGTACTCATTTTTTTCTTATTTTCCTTTTTTTCCCCAACAGCTTTTCTTGAAACTGTGACTTTTTGAGAAGACTTAACTCCATTGACGAAAAAAAGTAGACATCAATATTCAAGAAGTGGCTTCTGGCTTAGAATGGCAACTAGTACAGCAGTATTTTGTTTGCTCAACAAAAAACAGATTAAGGCAGATGTTGACAATTACACAGCTATTACAGCTGCCAGGGTATTAAGTTAGATTGCCACATTCAGGAACAACTAAACACAGCATTAGGAAGTTACACAAGTTTTAGGGAGAAGAACCTCTCCAAAGGAAGAGGCTCTTCACTGTTACAAGGAAAAGGAAAGCAGCACATGCTTTCTCATCAAAAGGAGGAGAACATGGCAGGAAGCAGAGTATTTCAAAGGACTGGCAGCAGCAAAACAAGAGCAGAGAAGCAAAGTGGACAGTGACAGGCATTCCAAGATTGGAGAACAGAACAGACCAGAGATCAGAAAACACACAAGTTGGAAAACAGTTGTTAATGTTCAAAAGGTAGAGGTAGCTTCCGAATATTCTGAAAGGAGGCACACACTCCTCAAATAGGTGTCTATGGAAGACACCTAAAATGAGCTAACTGGATTCAGTTTGAAGGTTTAAGGTCAGACCAGTCAGCTTGTGTCATCATGAAGATACTGCTCACCACCAGTGGAAAAATAAGACTTTTATTCAGATTGAAAAGCTCAATCTCTGTCACCTGCATGACTGACAATAACTGCATTTGTTTAATGACCCTGACTCTCATTCAGTGTCAAACTCCAGTGGTATTTCAGTATCCTCCACTATGTTGTGAGCAAAGGCTACTGAAGAAGCAAGGTACTTACATGCTAGAACATACTGCATGCTGTCAGCACATCATTTTTTCTTCACTATGAAAACATTTACTTTGCACACCATATGAAAACATTTCACTAGATGGGCTGCCCACACTTGACAAATAATCTCACTTCCTTGATGTTTGTCTGCTTACTGCTTCCAAATACTCCTCAATTTGAAACGCAGGCATTTCAGGACTGGGTTCATCTGTTCTGTCTGTACCTGTGTTGCACAGTGAGACCCTGATCTGCAATGAAGTCCCCAGGAGCAGATGATGCTGTACTTGCTCTCCACAGCAAGACTACCTTGGTAGATCCCTAAACTACTTGCCCATTCCCACCTCTAACCAAGGGTTTTAGAAAACTGCATTTACAAAAGTTCAAAAGCAACAGAAAGTTTAAAATTCCTTTTTCTGTAATATTTTAACAATCTAAAGTAGCTGTTTTCCCAAAGGGTATTCAACTTGCACACTGAAGCTTTGTGCCAGGAATGAAGAAACCATCAAAACCGTCATGTTGTCAGCATTTTTTGTTGTTGTTTCAGCATTTTTTCAAAGAAAATCTCTAGAATCTATACAGTACTGGGAGAACACCTTGCAAAAAGAAATCCTGAAAGTGTTCTTTGAGGACACGACAGCTATCATTTCAGAAGACATTATTTTCCAGTTCCCCTCTTGGAAGAAAAAAAAGAAAAAAAATAAGATGCTGCAGAGGTCACAAAATTCCTAAAGCTGCTTTTTAAGCACAAAAAAAGAAAGACAGTTTTGAAAGTTATGTAATAACTAGAAATGTACGCTGGTAACCTTTTATTGGGATGTATGAAAATAGTTTAAAATTCTGTTGTAGATAAACAAGCACTTACATGTACTCAAAACACTTGTATATCATTTCTATGGCTGAATCCAACATGGAGAAGAGTTACATCTCTTTTGTGTCAAAAACTAAGAACCATCATATTCTCATAAGATTTTAGTGCTGATTACAATAAAGCTCTAGAAAAAGCAATCAAAATCAACAATTCTATCAGTTACGTTACTAACTACATTCACTAGAGAAATAGTACAGCTGCACTTATCAACAAGAAGTAGAGGGAGGAAAGCATGAAACAAAACCAAAAACCAACATGAAGGGGAGCACTTAGAACACTTACTCTTTGATTGACTCCTGGCTAAAAAGATTCAAGTTCACATGAAAAAATACTTCTAATGTGACTTACACTTCAGGGTGAACTAGCCAAATCATTTTGCAGACTGTGAAGGAAACATAACTGTAACCAAACACTTCAAGTACTTTACAGAGTATTAAAGAGCTGAGGATTGCTTCAGTCTCACTTACCCTTGCATGAAATAAGGGAACTGGTGGCTTGGCGTGGGATTGCTTTGTGCTTGGGGAAGATTACGACGTCTCACTCCATCTGCATTCAAAGACGTAGATGAAGTTTCTTGGTTTGTGGGTGAGGCAGCAGTCAATCCAGAATTATCTAAATTCTTAAAAATAAACAAAATTGAGGTTGGGGATCTTATTGCCACAGTTAAAAGATTGACAACTGCATATTAAAAGAGAAAACAAACTATTTGCTTTAATGTTTTGTATTAGGCTGTATTGAGAAGATAAGCACCAGGCAAGTCTTCTGCGGTTTTACTGGTTCTGGCAAGCCTTTAGTAAAAACAGAAATTCAAAGTTGTATTCAGGCGTACATCTAAAAAAAAAAAAAAAAATAAAATTCAACACTTGATGGGTCCCAGAAAAAAAACCAAGTCACTGGGAATCAAAGTTTCCAAAAGCCAAGCCAAAACAAAGCTTAATCAAAAGAATATTTAGCAGGAACAAAAATTCTGGTAGCTATCGATAGCAAAAATACCTATAAACTCAGGATACAACTTCATATTGAGAGACAACAGTGCCTGCATTGGCTTAAAATATCATTCCTCTATCTTGGACTTCAGTTTCTCCTTCTAACTCCTTATCCTCTTCACTGTGCCAGCTACCTAATCCAAACAGCTGCTGGGAGGGGGCAGGGGGTGGGAATAGGAAAGGAGCTAGGAAATATTTACACTCCCAGAAACACACCTCCAACTCGTGTGTCAGACCTTCAACGCTTTCCAAGATCAATACTTAACCCTGAAAGCAGGACAACAGCTGGCTCTCCTAGATTATTTGTCACCATAGCAAGATTGCAATTTGACCATTGAGATGCATTGTTTTAGTTTTAATAAATCTCCAAATCCTGTTGCTAAGCATTACTGTAACATTTACTCAGTAGAAAATCCTCTTCAACTTTGACAACTCAGGAAGTGAGGAGGTGCAATTACTTATGACATCCATATCACATTTGCCCTACAAAGGAAAACAAGAAAAATTTTACCACTAGACAGGGTAGGGAGGAGAAAATAAAAGCACAAAAAAACCAAATGGCAGAACAAAGGCCGTTCAACCTTTAGTTCTTTCCTTCGAAGTGTTATGAACTTAAGACTGCACATACCAACTGCTTTAAGCAGTCATTAAACAGTTATTTAAATACATGTACAACTGTTCTATGTAGCAATAAAACAACAAAGGAGGCCCCGTGCCCTGCTTTCAGAGGTAGAAATATAGCCTCTGTAAAGACAATAGAACCACCGTCCACTCTCTGCTATTCCTTAAACTCTACTACTGTTCCTGTCACATAGCAATCACGAACAGTACTCTATCAGCACAAGAATTAAGACAGAGAGCTTATTACTGGAAGGGTAGTTCCCATGTGCTGAAAATCAACATACCGCAAGTGAGAAGTACCTACAGTGGTATTGCACACTTTCCAGCTAACCTTCAAGAATTGCTTAGTGCTGCTGCCAGCTCTGGAAAAAGCCAAGAGTTACAGTAACGACAACCATATCATCAACAGAAACACTAACTGCACTTCGATTTAAAACAGAGTACAAACAAAGAACATCATAATTTCTAGAGGGTGTTAAGAAGGAAGGCTCAGAACATCCTAAAGAAAAGGGTTCTGTGAACAGCTTAAATAATAAAGTGTTAGGAGCACTTTCTACTTCTCAGTCGTACAGACACTATGACCACTTTGCAGCTACTACATTAGTAATGGTCAACTCCTGTCAAGCTGGCCAAGCTTCACCTATCTTACAACAAGGACACTAATTTCATCAGTTTCTCTTCAGCAGTATATATTTTCACAGAATAAATCAGAACTTAGGGCATGTTTTTTAAAAAAAAATACCAATACCAAAACCTGAATACACTGCTCCTTCTGTCAAAGATGTGGGGATATGGAAAGAAGGAAAATCTACTTTTTGATAAAGTGTTAGATAGAAACGATAGCTTAGAAAAAGTAGTGCTTTAATTTCTAATAAACATAACTGTGTTACAATTTGAAAAACTGTCATCTTTGTTTAAATCAAGTTACACCCTTAAATGATCAAGTCTAATTGTACAAATGCATATGGCATGTTCTACTTTCCCCACACTATTGTACATTCACATTTTAAACATTAAAAAATAAATTCTTGGAAAGCTTCCTCCATGTAGAATAATTCACATCCTGTGTATGACAAAAACTCACTGAGCTACTCCTGGAGGTTGAAGCTCCGTGACCTTCTCTACTTGTGCTGGGTTTTGGAGAACTTGGGGGTGTCCGAGAAGTACATACCAGATGAACCATATGATACTCATCTTGCTAAAAATTAAAGAAATTGAAGAGCTAAGGCAACAATATTAGAGAAATTTACAAACAAAAACCATCTTTAAAAATCCAGTTTCAAAGATGCATTTGCAATCAGTAGAGAAACAGTATACAAAATGGAGACACCATAAAGTAAAACTTGAGCCTAGCACAGGAGAAGCCTGCTGTTTCATTGCTAATGTTTTCTTAGCAGCTGTCCACAATAACACATTAAACATTCACTTACCCTCACTTTTCCCTGGAACTGCCATACAGCAGAACCAATGGAAGAGCTCATATTGAAACACAAGGAAGTACAACATAAGTTTTAACTTTTACTTTGGAAAAAAAATCTCAAACCCTTTACAGGGCTTGGTTTCCCAAAAGTTAAGAATGCTTACACCTGCACTGAGATCTAATGAAGGGTGTTACTCAATAAAGACAATGGGGTGAATGAAAAATGTAGGCACTGGAATTCCACAAGCAGACCAAGGTAAGAAAAACATACCAGCCATTGCCTTCACCAGACTTTAGCCTAAGCTTCACCTGCAGATGCCCAGCTGAAGAGCCCCTGCAGATATTCCACACTCAGTGAATGTTACTTGTAGCACTAGATAGGACTTGAGCATTCTTAAATATTTGAAGTGAGGAAGGGAATGAGTGGCATCACTTGAAGCCATGTCAGCATGCTAGTAATCAGCTCACGTCAATTCTTCAAGAATATGCTCCCACCCAAGACAGATGACATAACAACTTCAGTTTGAAACTACTTCACTGTACCAGATGAAAACACCTCATTGTGTCAGCATGGCTGAGGCTTACATGACCACAGCAACAAGAAAAGTTAAGAGTGTGTATTTAAATTGCACACTACAGCTTCCTCAGTAACCAAATTTTCATCAAAAGAAAAAAAGAAAAGAAAAAAAACCCATCCTTTCCTGAAATCAGCATGGTGTAGTGAAGCTCCAGTTTTTAATGCGATAACATTTAGGAGTATAAGGCTTGAAAATTTTTTAGCTATTAAAAAATGTTAACATGTGCATTTACTTATTTTTTAAGTTTTAATATTTAGGAACAATGAAAACTGGGTAACTGCTTTTATACAGCATTGTGTCCTACCGCTATCAATAGTCTATGCATTATCCACATTCATTTCAACTCCTCCACACGTAGCACTTTCTAGCCCCAAACATTAAATGCCATTTCTTACCAGTTAGTGACAGTGAACAATGATCAGAGGACACAGGTGATCAGCATTCTGACCACATCAAGCCTTTAACCTAACTGGTTACCTTCTTTCTAGACAAGAACTTATGCTACTCAAAAAGGCAAAGGAAGCTGTTAAGTGTAAGCTTACACTTACAGCATTATCCCACGTGACAGTTTATTGTAATATGGTTCTATTCAGATGTAACGTGTTGGATATCACTATGCTTGAAGAGTGCCACAGCTTCCAGCCTCAAGGTATTTTGTATTTTTGAAATGACACTGCTCAGTATTGAAGAGCAAGTATCACAAAGCTAAATTGAGGTTTCACAAATCCTCAGGTAATGTTAAGAATTTACAGCTAATCAAGTAGGAAGAATATGGCAGAGAATGAGATTGAACTTAAAAGGAATCATACCTTTTATTCAAAAGTTCTTAAAAGCTTGAGCACAGAAAACTCCTCCCCTTACAACACAAATTTTTGACTTTGTGCTTAAGCCTAATGGATACATTTCTAAATTCAGCCAACTTCTTTAACTAAACCCAAGGCTCCTCGCTACTAAAATGCCTTTAAAGTCAAATATAGCCCCTGTATAGTGAAGGAAGACATTAGCTAGGCAAGTTTCTTCTCTAGCACAAAATCAAGGTTTGGAATCATGTTTCCTAAATCCAGTCTGCTGTAAGCAGGCCAAGTGTATTTAAGAAAACCAGACTTTGTTTTGTCCTTAATAATCAAAACTAAGCTTTGAGGTTAAGTTATATAAGCATTTTCATGAATTTTTAAGTGATACAGGACACATACTGGTTGGCAACAGTCCAGCTCCAGTTTTCTAGTAAACCTATACACAGCAAATTTCAATTTTTTTTTGGCAAGCAGTTAAATGTAATTTAATAAAATCTATTTTAAAAATAATATTATAAAGTAATAGTGTTAGTTTGCCTAAGCAGTACTCGAAATTCCATTGCATGTTTCTCCATTATTAATACTGAAGTTGCCCACTTTCACTAAAACATTAACTTTCCTTTAGAGACTTTCCTCCATAGTAAATATTAAAAGGTAACTCCCACTCTTGCAGACTGTACATTGATTTTTACCTCAACAGATTAGAAGAAAAAAAAAAGTAGCATTACCAACATCCAGGTACAGTTCTCCTATTTCATACCATTAAAAACTGTAATTGCTTCATGACCTAAAGTATTTTCTAAATATAGCTACTGATGCATCCGGATCTGCTTACAAATTTGAAGACTACTCCACATAACGCATTACCATCAAAACTGAAACAAAAGTTCTCAATAATATGCCCTAAATATCATCTTATTCTATCCATTTTTAAGAACTTTACCAACTTAATCAAGTCTCTATTACCTAATAGCATCAATCCAAACTATTTGAACCAATTTGAGAACCAAGCGCATGTATTTCAAGATTTCCTACATGAGACATCATGTGTATTCAGGATTTGGATTTCATTTAAATCTTGGCCAAAGATTCCAAAGTTAGATGAGTAAAATAACTTTTTTCCAAGATAAACTAGAATTTAAAAAAAAAATAAATAAATAAATGCAAGAACCAACAAACTTTCAAGTATCATCATGAACAGTTAATAACCAATGTATAAAACCAGGACAATGAACAGCTCTCCCACCAAAACCATTTAGGAATTCAGAATTCTGGTTTTGCATATAAATGTATTTCCCTTAATTTGCTTGCACCACTGCTGTTTTTCATGTAAGTTCTTGGAATTAAGTATGTACAAGAAATTAAATGATGTCCCAAACCAATACAAACCTGTTAAATGATTCCATTCATGTCATAGTGGGACCTGCGCACAAAGAAGTCACTCTACACTATGTATCACTTGTTCGGGACTTCCGTAGCTTAGTCTCTCTCCCACCAATCGGAAACATGCCTCAATCCACAAGTTTCACAATCCTACATACATTTTCCAGAACGTATCAACAACATATAGTTACATCTCTCAATACAACAGTGAAAATTCAAAGCTAAGCAACACAAATCTAAATTCCTATTTTCCAAAAAAAAGAGGGGGTTGATCAAGTATCGTACGGTGTTGATATAAAGCTTACTTTTCTGAGAACATCTTTCAGCTGCAGGTGATCAGGAAGTAGTCTGCCAGAATACACCAGCCTCTGATCCTTTGTAGACTAGGAGATGGGACAAAGAAAGGAATTTAGCTTTTTCCTGCTGTACAGATATACAGCTGGAGATAACAGTTGCAGATGAGAAAATCCTTTACCATTCCAACCATCACCAGACAGCCTTAAAAACATTTCAGAGGCCTCACAAGCCAATGTGCAAAATCTGAATAAGAATTCTGCTATTATTCACTCGCAGCAAGAGTGCCATAAAAATCAACAACACTTAACCGGCAAATGCTGCTCAAGTAAGCTATCAAGTGTATTCAAAAATTCCTTATTTTAAAGAAGATTTGCTCTTTACTCTGCTCCCATTCCCAGGCACTTGCTGAAAAAGTAAATGCAAAAGTGGCTAGGGCAAAGAAAAAAAAAACCAAAAATAGTTAGTAGAATGATGGAGCGATAATTAAAATATGCAGAAGAAGGACACATATTTCAATCTTGACAAGATAAAATACTTGAATAGATGAAGTGCTGCAAGAAATTCAACATCAATGCTGTACTATCTATTTATGTTTAAAACAACAACAAAAAATGCCTGTCTCTCTCAGTCAAAGTTCTTCTGAACTATGCCATTCCAGTTGCTCCTTTCAGGCAGAAACAGGCTGCTAACAGAATACAAGCTTATTTGCATTTGGTATTTGGGAAAGGCTTTCTTAGAAAAACTCGAGTTTGAGGCATGCATCAAGATTACAAAAAACTTTGGTTTCCTGTAAATTAGAAATCTGTTGCTTTAGAACAACCAGTGGAGCCAGAAGAAAAGTTTCAGAAACCTTCTTTCTGGGTCCTGAGATAGATTATCTGGGGATTAATTAGGATAGATAAGCAGTGATATCAAAACAAGCAAAACAGAGCAGAAAAAACAAACAACACAAAAAATCCCCCCCCAAACCGAATTCCAAATATTTGTATCATCGTCCAACATGGCAATGGAATGCTGTTTTGTCTGTCCCTCTCAATATAGCTTTCTACATGGTCAAATTCAGATTTTTGACTTCACTACCTTATATATGAACCCTCCCCCAACTCCATCTAAGTAAGTAGCTTCTCAAACGTGATACAAGTAGTACAGCTTATTTATATTAAATACTTTACAGAAAAATAACTGCTAGATTAAAATGACCCCTCAAAGCTGACTACTACACAGCCTTTAGTAATACGTTTCAGCTCCTTATAAAACTACAAAAGCAGAGTTACACATACACTGAGTACTGTTAATCACATTAAGCTACAGACATCAATGGGGGAAGATGAGGTCTTAAGCCTCGTACTCCTTCCTAAGTAAAATACGTAGCTGTGCTCTGCAGGATTATCACTTGCAATTCTCAGGGGGAAAGCTACCCTGGAATTTTGAAATGCAGAGGGTTTTTCAGTGCAGATGGAAGAAGAGATGAAAAATGTGAAAACACAGTAATTCACACATATGCCAAAGCAAACAACAAAGGCATTCAACTCATCTTCTGCCAGAGGAGGTTCACTACTGCACCTCCCGCTTCAAGGAACGGCATGCTCACTTCTAGTGTCCAAACACAGAACTGTGATGGAAAAACACTTCAAAAAGTATATAATTAGAATGGCCCCATTTTCAGAGGCATCAGATAAAACGATCCTAGAACTTAAAATTTAGAGATGGAATACAGTTTTCAGATCACAATCCACAAGGTATGTATTTAAAACGAAGAACTCAACAGCTAGTGGGAGCTTTTTTCTTCCATTTTCACGCAAGGCTCTTTCCACAGCGCTTAGTCCAAGGTAGCTACGCCCAGCATGTTACCAAATCAACGAAATCTAAGCTAATGCAGCAGCTTCCTCTAGAAACACAATCTCTGAGCTACGCTGTTTCAGCCACATTATTTTGGTCACTCGGCCTCTCTCCCATTCTTTCACTGGAAATAAAAAAACCAATTATTCACATCTGGTTAGAACTGTGGGCAAAGTCTATGCTATACGACAGGTAGTAGAGGAAACGAAAAACAGCAGTTTTAAAGTAGTGCTTATGGGTGTAATCAATGCAGCAGTTAATGCACTGAATATAAGGTCTGCCAGACTGAGACAAACAGGTGGATTTTACAAGTTTTCTCTTCTTAAATAAATATTTAGGAACACTGTAAATGCAGTACTCTAGCTATAAAAGTTTGGTACAGTCAGAGGAAAAAATAGTGACGGATGTGAACCTCAGTGTAGGCCCACAAGCTAATTTAATACTGTTTTAAATCCATTTAGCTTATTCAATGAATTAGTAAGTGTACCGACTTTAATAACAACTAAACCAATTTAAATCTGCCTGTACTTGGAATTTAGACATATTTAGCTAAGTTGTTCACACAAATTAATCTGGAAAAAAATCACAACTACACTGCCTCAAGGCCTAACTTCGTATTTGCCTATTTTAACCACCTCATTTTCAGAATATATACTCTTAACAAATAGTAAATTTATTGACGCCACTTACACGTATCATCAATTTACTAATTTAGAGATGCATATAGGAGAATGAGGTACAAGTTACACATTAAAACTTGAAAACTATGTACAGCAGTGAAAAAAAATTATTTCTATTTTACATCCTTAACTTAAAAAACACTGCAATACCTGTATAGAGCATCTGTGTTCTGATGTATTCTCGCATTCTGAAAATAGCATTGTAATAGAAGTTATTTCCAGGACCTATCATATTCGGGGAATGCAGAAATTTGATCAACAAGCTATTGACACTGATCTGGTTTAAAAAGAAAAAAAAAAAAAAGGGAAAGGAAGGGAGAAGGAGGAAGCTCCTAAAAGCACAAAGATTTAAACATACTTGAAAAAAATGGTAGCACTCAACATCAAAAATGTATCAAGCCAAAAATACACTTTCTGATTTTACTACACATAGGAGACATCCTATTAAACACCTTTCTCCTATCTAATGTTACACTTAGATTTGAAAGGATCTATGAAATACTGTGTTCAGTTATTAGTTTAATTGTAAATACAGTAAATCTAAATTAAACAGGAATTACTGAGATAATTTTCACTAAAGAAACTCCCCATTTTTTAACCCAGAACAAATTCTGGTATTCTGAACTAGTTATTTAATAATGAGAATCATGTTGAGGAATTAATTTTCAACAGAAGAAAGACACTCCAGGAAACTGAAATTAAGTATTATATTACTGGTTAAAAACCTAAGGTGCAACATAAAAGCCTCTTGATCATTACAGATTCTTTGTAGAAGCCCAATTTCACAAGATCACAGGATGAGTCAGAAAACTAGTGTTTAGACATAAATACGTCACAACAGGAGATTCTAGTGAGGAAGAAGAAGAAGCAATCAGCTGAAGTGGTGTATTTGGTCTTTTCACAGCAGATAGGCTCTCTCAGCAGAGAATTATTCACAGCAACAACTAAATCCACAAACTGTCAAATACTGTACTAGTGACACACCTTAAGTTGTTGACTGCTTTTCTTCCTCTTTCTCCAAAAGGTAGAAAACCCCTTTGAGACACAAAGCTACTATTTTCCTTTCCCACCACGGGAAATAAATCAATTGACAAAGCCAATAATTCTTCTCCTGAACTAGGTAAATACTAATCATTTACAATATAAATGCAGCCTTTGTCCAACGATTTCTACAGCAAGGTCAAGGCCTCTACACATGCTGCTGCAGTGTGGAGGCAGTCACTCCCTCTATATAGTTTTCTGGAACAAATTTTCAAATACACTGTTCTGTACGATTGTTATTCTAAAGGGGTACAATATTATCTTTCTGTTATTATCTATACGTATTTTCATACCCTCTTTTTAATTGTCAAATTGAGAGCTTAAAAGAATTTACAATTAAACCACATGTTCCTCAGGGAAAAAAAAATAGCTTTAGGCTTTTCTGTGAATACAATTACAACTGTCGTTCAAGTTTGTATAACATCTGAAAGCAGAGTTTCCAGCACAACCTCAAAAAATGGCTTTTCTAAGAGGAAAAAAAAGGAAATAATTCTGGAGGTTGTTCAACTGCATGTTTCAACTATTATTATGAATAAACATCTACCCATGAATTCATTAGATTGCGGTCAATTTAGCTGTATCACTTATGCTGTAATTACCTTAGACAGAACTCTTATATTTGCATAAATTAAACTCAGTTAACAGAGATATCTCAATTCCAGCTCCTAAAAATTAAACAGCACATTAGTAAGCGTCTTCAGAGATAGCACCTTGCAGGATGCTACTCTGTAATCTTCGCAAATCATACAAAAGGTCGTCTCTTTATGTTGCCAACATCCCTGCAAGCAGAAAGCCAGCCACTGCCCTTACACAGCCAGCTCTTCGGCTTTCAAACTGTTCTTTATTTTACAGAGCACCTAAGAAAAGTCTCCCCCGACTGCTCACGAGTCACCGCGATGCCAGCCTTACCGACGAGCCCAACAACTCACCGGTTTACTGGGGTAGACTTTGGAGAGGTGAGACTTGAGCTTGCCCACAGTCCAGCCCAGGCAGCAGTTAATGGTCTGGTCGGTGTACTTCTGGTTGGGGGCCCTGATGATGAGGGTCACCGGGTGGTCCGCGTCGCTCTGCTCCATGCCGCCGGCGGGCAGGGCCGGCCCTCGCCCCTCTCTTTCCCCCCGGGAGGCGCTGAGGGCGGG